TCATAAACATTCAAAACGAGGCCACAGCAGTGATGAACCAACACTTGGAGAACAGAATTAAATGGAATATCGTAAATAATGCAAGTGATCATATAATACTTCTTCTCAAAGATATGGATGTTAATTCCTGCAATCAATAAGGAACAACAGTCGTGAAAGCTATATCTGGCATAGCATTAGAGCATTTATTAATATTAGTAGTATTAGTAGCAGTAGTAGTAGTATTTGAAAGAGCAACTTAGTGATGCCAAGGTACCAATATCAGTCAGTTATATGCCATACGTGATACACGCTTAGGCGATCATGTATCTTTCGATACATGACTGACGAGACAGATTTTTTCCCGCAGTAGGTTGCCATTTCTTTCTGAGGTAGACCATTTCGCATCCAAGGCTATAGAACCCGGTCTGTTCTGCTATTTACCCATAGCTGGGGAAGAGAAGAAGAGAAATCATACCTTTCCCAATGGTCAGTCAGTTATGTGCCATGCGTGATACACGCTGAGGTGATCACGTATCGAAAGATACATGACTGACGAGGCAGATTTTTTTCCCGCGGTAAGTTGCGGCAGACCAGTTGCCATCCAAGGCTATAGAACCCGGTCTGTCCTGCTATTTACCCATAGCTTGGGTGGGGGGAGAAGAAGAGAAATCATACCTTTCCCAATGGTTAGTCAGTTATGTGCCATGCGTGATACACGCTTAGGCGATCATGTATCTTTCGATACATGAGTGACTAGGCAGATTTTTTTTCCCGCAGTAGGTTGCGGTAGATCAGTTGTCATCCAAGGTTATAGAACCTGATCTGTCCTGCTATTTACCCAATGCTGGGTGGAGGGAGAAGAAGGAGATTCATAGCCTGAACTCTCACTAGTGACCATAAGAATGAAATTTGACGAACGTGAACACTTGCTGCCATAAGTGAGTATAATCGGCTCTACCCGAATGTTGGACAAAGTATGCTCGCACTCTGTCTGTCTGTCTGTCTGCATTTGTCAACCTACATATTTTTTCTCTCCCTGTCTCTTTGACTAATTTAACGTGTTGTGTTCTAATTATTCTAACTTAATTTGTAACCCTGTATGTTCGTTTATTTGGAAATTCCAATTGACAGCGAGAGAAAGTACATTCGCCAGCATTCTGATATTCTAGTTGGCCGAAAATCTTGCCAACGCGGAATCGTTTAGCCGTATCTTTCTCCACGTTGTTTTTAATTTTATTTAAAGCAAGTACCCCAAGCCCATTGTTGGGGGGGGGCGGACTGAGGAACGCTCGTTGGAACTCCCCTCCCCCAGCTCTGCGTTCATTGAAACAACAGCTTGGTGAAAAGGTAGCCTGAACTCTCACTAGTAACCATGAGAATGAATGTTGACGAACGTGGACGCTTGCTGCCATAAGTGTGTAGGCATTTATGCCATATCCGCAAAGCTGGATAACCATATTTTTTTTAATTTCTTTTTTTAAAATACGACAATGTGACTTATACTAAGTTAAAACTTAGTTTAGTGAAAGTGTAAATTACAAATAAAATTACATTGCTATCCCCGAGTAATGTACTAGTCTCCTAGTATCGGCCTGGACTCTTTTTCAACTACCCCACCTCTGTTCTTTTTTGTTATTGTTGTTATTGCTGTTGTTGTTGTTGTACGTGTTTTATGTAATAGGAGTAGGTAGGCTCTTCTACCGCCCGGTCAGTACTCCCCGACTTCCCTTGGACAAGTTTAGAGGATTACACCTCGTTTCTTGTTTTGGAAGGGATTCCCGGAACTCTCTCTCTCTCTCTCTCTCTCTTTGGCCTCTGTACAAGTACTGCCGTGTTTTCTCCCGTGATGTGTGCAGTCTGTGGCAATACTTCCTCACTCTGAGGGTACACGGTTGACAGTTCTCTGGTTGCTGTTTCTGACTGGTAGTTAGGAGCCCTAACTTTTGCATAGCGTCTTGAGCAGCCGCTCTGATCAACAGTTGTATAATACCGGGGTGTCTGTAGTGCCATGTCGCGCATAGAAAGGTGTCCCTGCAGTCACTTCCGGTGGGCAACCCTGAGGTCACATTATGATGCAGGCTGTGCCAATTTCTCTCTGCCTACGCCACGGTTGATAACCGTCTGCTACTTCTACTTCAGGCCTTCTCATCTTCCAACCAGAATTCCACATGATGACTAACAAAGATTGAAAAAGTTAACCTAAAACCAGCCCTTCAAAAATCACCTAAACCCTTCAACATTTCATTCTCCAACATCTCAGACTTCGCGAATTCAAGCGTCCTACGAGGCTGGCATCTCGCTCTCGAAACTGTTAAATGTAGCCGCCTCTTCTACTCCAATAGCTTCATAACTCGCACCTCTCGCCAGCTATTCAAATGTAATGTCAATCGACATCTCCAGTTGCCTTGATCTATCCACTATCATTCTCCTCATCTTTTCCTCTATCATTTCTATCTGCTCTCGCTCCAACTCTCTGTAACCTCTTGCGTGCTAGTGGCTTCCCGCCTTGCTAGGTATGAAATGCTTAAAAAAAAAAAACCTTTCATAAGTGAATGCAATGGATTCGACTGGAATTCGAACTCGGCTCTCCGATTCCTCAATCCAAGCCTCTACCGTAAACTACTATTGTTCTTATCAACTGACGGAAAAGCTAAGCATCCACCCGATCTTATTACTCATGATTGACGAGGCAGATTTTTCCCGCAGAAGGTTACCATTTCTTTATACGGTAGACCATTTGCCATCTATAGATCCCGGGTCGAGGAGTACAAAAGTATTAATACCTTTCCCAAGGGTATTAGCACGTAAGTGAATGTAATGGATTCGACTAGAATTCGAACTCGGCTCTCCAATTCCTCAGTCCGAGCCGCTATCCATTACTCTACCGGGCTACCAATATGCAAATTCTAATCTACCATCCATGACAACCAGTGGGATAAAAGTATACTACGTACATGCCTCGCAGCCAAATGTTCCCTATATCGTCATAGAATTAGATAAAAGAAGCATATAACCTTGCAAGAGGGGCTCAATTAGAAATGCTTTCAAGTCGGCTGACCAGTCTGTTC